ATAAATATAGTCTCAAACACATTTTTTTTACTTAAATATGTAAAAGTAAATTGAACAAAGTATTCCATTTATTAACTTCTCCGCGAAATGCGCTGCCATATTTGTATTTGTTTAACCATAACGAATTCCCACAGACAACTCAATTTATTTTAGTTATTCAAATTGAACATTTACGGCAGTCAATTCGTGAGACCTTGAACTTGCTTCACTAATTGCTTTAAATATTGCTTTAAATATTATGCACACATACACATATTTGTAGGTAGGAAATAAACACTGTAAATTTTAGCGATGGAAATGAACTCAGAAGAAATAGTAAATTTGGTAGGACTAATTGGCAACCGTCACTAAAATATTTTGGTTTACATATTGGTCAAGCCAAATTTTTTGATTCTCTTGGGGAAGTCGTAACATTTTTTTTTTGGATCCTGAGTGTGGTAATTGAATGTACAATATGCGCATTAATGTATAGATTTAGTTTATTAAAAAAAAAATATTTCATCATTATTTTTATTTTTATTTAAGATAATCCCACTCTATCTAATCCTTTTACACTCATATTTTCTATAGACAACTTCAGACAATCTCTTTCAAAGGCAATTCATAATTCAATAAAGATAAACGGCAAAATGAAATACATACATACATGTATTTATACCTTTGAATCAGGCATGTTGCGAATATTTGCATTCGCATTCGTTATGCGAATGATTCGCATCATTTTACACATTCGCATTCGCATCAAATGATACGAATGTTTTGCGAATGCGAATGTGTACATGGGCAGAGAGTCCACTCTAATATTGTTGAAATGGCTCTAAGTCTGTCTAATCAGGGTGCGGACAATAACCGGCTTTTAGCTTCAGGCGCTAAACGGTTTAGTACTATTATCAAGCAATATTGATGGACCTTCAACTAGTACTGCTAAAAGTCTTATAAGCAACCTAGAAATAATTTTAGATTTCTCCAGCGAAAGCGAAGGCTCGGATGTAGAATCCGGAGATATAAACAAATGTGTAATTAAAGAACAATTGAAGGCCTATCTTAAAGAAAAACGAGCTCATCTCGGTGAAAATCCTTTCGATTGGTTGAAAACTAAACTAAAATTTCACAAATTGACAAATCTGGCCTGCAAATATTTGAGCGCTACACCCGCCAGCGTTCCAAGTTGACAATTGTTCAGTGCAGCCGGCCTGATATATGAGCCTCTAAGAAATCGAAAATAAGAAGGCAGTAAAATTACTCTTTTTGATATATAATATGCCACTTTTGAACTTTGACTATTAGATTAAAACACTGTATAGGTTAAGCACTCGTTCAATGTTCTAATAATTTACAAAACTTTTAAGTAATAAAAATGTTGACTTAAGTTGATTATAGCTTTTTTAATGCTATTCCCAACATTCACATTCGCATTCCGCCAATGCAAAAAATATGACATTCGAAACATCCCTAGTTTGAATATACATACATACATATGTACATATGACTGCACATAAATGAACCTACATATTCATGCATATTTTTTACGATTGTGTAAATGCAATCAAATTCATAAAAGGCTAATAAAACATTTGAAGCTTAGTAGAAGGCAATGTATTGCAAAATATGAGTACACCTATCTTGAGTTATTAAAGACATTTTAGCAAAAAAAAAGAAAAACTTTTCAACTATCAACTAAAAAAAAAAATATAAACAGGTAGCAATATAAAAAGAGAGTACAGCAAACAAAAAAACCTAAACTTTACGCAAACCAGCAAAAAATTGCAGTGGGCAATCTAATCAGCTTTTAATTATTTAGACGGCAAGGCTACAAATTTAGTTATCGCACGAGTAAAGGCGTTCGTTAGTGAAGCAAAAACAGTATCTAAATTAATAAAGTTTTGATGTTAAAAATAATATAAAGTATATTCCATTTTTTCATTTCAGATAATTTCGAGTACGTAAAGTCATAGGTTTTAAAGTTATAAACACTAAAAATAAATAAAAAAATAAATAAAAACAAATAAAAAATAATAAAAAAAAAACATGACCAACATACGACAATTAACGCCAGAGCTAGCTAAACGTGCTCAGAAGGAGTTGGGTGAGGTACCCGAACGTATAGATGCTGATATACAACAATTACGCGATTGGGTTTTGAAACAGCCACATCTTAACGCCCGCACAGATGATCAATTTCTGGTAGCATTTCTGCGCGGTTGCAAATATAGTGTGGAGAAGGCGAAACATAAGCTCGATAGCTACTATGCAATGCGTGGCGCTGTGCCGGAATTGTATAAGGATCGGTTTGTTAATGATGCAGCGATTGACATTCTGCGATCGGGGTGAGTATAGCAAATTCTAGTGGGATTGAAAATTAGACTTTCAGAATACCTATGTACATATCTGTGTTAAAGCTTAAACAGACGGCAGCGATGATCGGGATTAACTGGGACTTAATCCGGATCAACTGCAGTTAATTCCCGAGTTGATCCGGATCAACGCTGCCGTCTGTTTAAGCTCTTATTTGGTTAAAACTTCTTATCTCGAGTGTGACCATCTTCCCTTTAGATCAATATTTCATTGGGTTCCCAAACAATATTTTGACTTTTAAAATAAAAGGTTAATAAAAAATTTTAAATCTTTTAAGGGAAACTTATTCTTTTTTACTCCAAAGTCAAACCTTCTAAAGTCACTTAAGTTGTTTAATCAAAATACCGCAGATATGCATATGCACGTGATTATGGACAATACTTTCTCCCTCTTTTCTGGGTTATTTTTCTATTCATTTCCATTTTTTTTTTTGAATTGATAAAAAGTGCATTCTCTAACAAAAAACATACATATAACGCAAGTGTCAAAATTTGTAGAAAATAAAAAATTCATCAAATTTCCTTAAAAAATTTGAACTTTTTTCTTCGAATTTTTAGATTTTTTTTAGTATGCAGTTTTGTGGCCCATTCAATTTTAGTGAAATAAAGTGCTTTTTACTCACGCTCTTTTGCAATCTTATTGCCATATGGCGCGCATTTTTTTCCAATGATAATTCCTAGCTACTTCAAACTTGCACTTTATTATAATATGTAAATTGAATGGGCTACAACAACACAGCATACTAAAAAAACGGAGAAAAAAGGTTTGAAATTTTGTTGAAAATTTTATGAATTTTTTTTAACTGTACAAATTTTGAGACTTGGTTTATATGGTTTTTGTTAGGGAAGGGACTTTAATTGAAAAATAATTGGAACTAAATAAAAGAAAAATAACCAAAAAAGCACTGTTCCTATTCAAGTGCATGGGAGTGTATACCTAAAGGCAATTCTTTTATTAGCAATTAGATACAACATGGCGGCTAAACAGCCGATCTACTAAATCGCCTATTTTTAATACCAAAACAGGCGAAAACATTTCTCGAAAAGTATAATACCTGAAAAAAAAACAAAAAATTATTACTCTTCCTACTATTTGCTATAGGAGTACATAAGGATTTTTCGTTTATTCAATTCTTGTGAAATGGTGAACTTTTGAAAAACAAAAGGTCGAATTTTCGCTAAGAAATCAGCCGTAAATTGCTTAGCAAAAATTTTACTTTCCATCAAAAAACGGCTACGTACATCTCTAAATAAACTACTACTACTGAAGCTACTGTTAAAATTTAAAGTCGATCTGTGCAGTAGTCTTGACGTAGCGTTTTTGCCCAATTTGAAAAAAGTGGTTTCGAGAAAAATGTGTTCTAAGTTCTAGAAGCGCTCGGCTCTCGCCATTAAAATTATTGATTTTGCTGGAGAACACAATGAATATTATGGCTATTCATCTAACCGCTTAAATACCACGTAAACGCGTAGACCTCGTAAACAAGCTGGTTTTCCATACAAAATGAAGTAAGTGTACAAGTTTTACGTGGTTACGCCGCATTTACGTCTTTATATGAATCCTTTTTTTGTTTTTATGATAGCTTTTTCCGATAATCAGCACTATAATATTTTTATATAAGTACATATATACATACTAATACATTAACCAAATCTCAAATTACAGCGTCTACTTACCTCTGCCCAAACCAATCGCTCCGGATGGCCCACGTATTCATTTGGCACGCTATGGCGTTTACGACAGCAGTAAATATTCGATGAGTGATGTTATTAAGGTGCGCACAATGCTTGGTGAAATACAATTTCGTGAAGATGATAATGCCATGATTATGGGTTTCATGGAGGTGATAGATTTCAAAGGTATCGGTGCTGCACACATTTTCCAATTTAATGCGGTATTGGTTAAAAAAGTCGCCGTACTAGGCGATAAAGCTTGGCCATATCGTCCTAAGGGTTTTCATTTTATCAACACTCCTTCAAGCTGTGAAAAGGTTATGAACATTGCAAAGAGTATGATGAGCGAAAAAATTAAAAAGCGCGTAAGTAGAAAATGAATACAAATGAAACTACTATGAAAAAACTACGTATATATGTGAATATTCGTATACTATTATTTAAATTATGCATATCTACTCCAACAGTTCCATATGCACCCCAATTTAGAGTCTCTCTACAAGCACATACCAAAAGAGTCTCTGCCTGCTGAGTATGGCGGTAGCAATGGCACGCTGGAGGACGGCATCAACACATGGGAAAAGAAACTGCTTAGCTATAAGGAATATTTCGAAGAGGAAGCGAAATATGGCACAAATGAGAAATTACGGCGAGGCAGTCCCGTGAGCTCCGAATCTTTATTCGGCATTGATGGTTCATTTAGAAAATTGGATATTGACTAATGTTTTGATACAAGATAAGTTAGTAAAAAGGAGATTTTAGTTTTTTCTTAATTCTTTAGGAGAAATTATCAGTATTTATCAATAAAAGATGTATGTATGTGTTTGTATAATACAAAGAATATGTGCTTGTATAATACAAAGAATATTTGTTTCAAAAATAAGAAAGAAACTGCATAGTAATGTCAATAAAAGGTAGTAGAAGTTTCAGAATGAATAACTTATTAAATTGCAGTACTTAATTTGAAAAATATTTATTTTGGAGGAGCTTCAGCCATCGCATTAAGATAACGCCCCGGAGATTTATTTTATTTCAGTGGTAAAACTAATAAGTCGGAGTGGCCTCACCCAAGCTCTCTGGTTTTCCTTGACCATGATAAAGAATTTCCATATCTACTTAAAGCAACATTATATATCATAACAACGGTACAACAATATTTCATGTGAAAATAGTAGTAGTAAAATATATCTAAATATTACTAAGCAACAAGCGATGACTAAAAATATTTTAGATTTTTAAACAACTTTTCTACAATTTAAATCATTAAAATTGTATACCTATTTACAAAAATTCACATCAATTATTTGGTTTTAAGCCAGATATCTTGTAGATAAATGCGTGTGCAGCATCATAGTGTGGATTTGCCTGCGCACGCACACGTTGCATCCACTCGGCAGTTTTTGGAAATTTCTTACCGACATCGTATTGTGTCAGTTCTACAAAAATAAGAAAATGTATTATTACATTTTTAATTGTCATTACAACTTCACGAGCGCTTACTTATCTGTTCAACTTCACAGCAACCGAACAAATCGGCCACAGTTATTTCATTTTCCACCACAAACTTGTTGTCCTTCAACCAAATCTCCTCCAAAACCTTAAGTTGTGTCTCCATGTTTTTGCATAACATAGCTGCTTTCTCGGCGCTAGGTTTAGGCTTTATGCCACTGATAGGAAATAGCCACATATCGAGAAAGTACGAAGTACAACCAAAGCGTACACCTAGATGCTGCCATTCTAGAAATTCATCGACACGCGCTCGACGCTGCAGTGCTTTGGGATAGAGTGCTTCACTGAATTTACCCTTATCGGAGAGATACCTAGAAGACAAAAAAAATATAGAATTAGCAAAAATTTAATACGTTTTCTCTATTAAATATGCTATTTAATGTTAAAAAAAAATACTATAGCAATTGGAAATACATAGCAACAATCCACAAACCTATTTGGGGAGTTTTTATGCTGTTGCAACAAATAAACAAACAATAATCTTTTTTACTCTGCTAAGCCCCCTTTGCTGAATATTAATCCTTCAAGCGTTACCTCCAGAATGATAGTTTTGTGCTGCCTATTATTGACCGACCGCAACTTCCAACCAACACTTCTACTCTGTCACAATTGCAGTATGGATGCTGTAACAGGTGGCATTTCTACCTATCCACCAACCACCTCTCCACATGCCCACCCAACCTAACTTCAGTAACACCCCTTTCCCTTTGGTAAGACACCACAGAAACAACACGCTCCCTGGGCTTAACATTAGTTGAGCTTGGCGTCAATGATTTAAGGATTTTCCGACTCTAGGCAAGGTTAAGTTGCGCCTACAACAACAACACTACTTGCTAATCTGCATTCTGAACGGCTGGATCATTCCTTATTTCATAACTTCATTATTCCTACCACTCACCTTACGATCGCCACACTCTCGCCCAGATGAAAATCTTCATCCACTATTGCCGGCACTTTTTGAAAGCGATTAATTTCTTTGTACTCTGGTTTGAGATGCTCCGCTGCAATTTTCAAATCAAGCAAATACATAAAATATGTTGATAAAATTTTAACTTTTAGTTTCACGCAACAAAAGAAATATTTTACTTACACTTTCGCAATGCTACCGGACAATCCTCATGTGGAATCTTACCCAGCCGCAATGCAATCCAAAGGGCACGCGATGGTTGTGACATCAAATCATAGTAAAACTTGAACTTAGCCATTGCGTACTATTGCGTAGATAACTTAATGCTTACTTAGGATATGCATACAAAATGTGTTCAAAAAATCGGTGGTAAACACTTGGAGGCTGCTAAGTTCAAAGTTCGCTGAAACCAGTGTGATGTTCGCTGCTAATCTCACAAATTTCGCTTTGTTATCTCATTTGTTTGGGCATTGCATTTTTTTTATAAATCTATTTTGTCTTGTTTATGTGCTTGGTTTTTTTGTATGTTTTTTTATTTGTTTTGCTTGCCTTGCGCTAGCTAAAACTAAAAGCTTTTTAGTCGCGCGCTTTTGGTGCGGTCTAAAGTAAAAAGCTTAGTAAATGGGTACAGTTTAAATACCAAAAGTGTTGCCGGATCGCTGCAAATGAAACAATACTATAAAATAAAACTTAAAAAAAATATAAAAACTAAATATTTTTAACGTTCTTTGAGAATTCAGCATAGCAAGTTGTACATGACGTCATAAAGAACACCTCTCAAAGGTCTTAGGATTCAAAAAAAAAAAGTTACCTATTCAGTTTATTTCAAGGATTGAAAAATTAGAATTGACAATCAAGTGTTGCTTGATATTCTCAAATAATAGAGATCTGCACTGGTCGTTTTATTTTTTTTTTAATATTCGTTATTCTCCGTTTGAGATAATTTATTATTGATCTCTTCCACAACACCAATGCCTTCCCGTAGAGACGAACCATTAGTTTTAAATTTTTGTATGCAAATGAAGTTACGGGTTAATAAATTCCAAATCTGTTTTTATGTTATTATTTGTAAACATTTCTTTAATTCGACGAATAAAAAAACGCCCAAGAAATGGTCAAGATCAAGCCAAATTTTCTTAAGCACTACCAAGTTCTTAAGAAAATTGCTACGCTTTCTACTATGGTTTGCTTAAGTTTGTTTGTGAAGAGTACAAGGCACCCTTGTTTTCAACGGAAATATATGTCCATTCCATTATTTCGTAAGGAAAAAGTGAGACAGCAGGCAGGAAAATATCAGATGTCAAAACTCCTTAGACACTACTATTCACACACATGAAATAATAGCAATTTATTTCTTGAAGGTTTACTTAAAAGGTCTGTACTTAGCTTCATACATTAAAATAAGCGAAATAAGCATGATCGTTAAAATTAAGCTTGGAAACCCTGAATAAGCAAAATAAGCAATTTCAAGCAAAGGCTTAAACCTTTTGGCGCTGATCATAGTATTACCAGGACTGCCAACTATACTTAGCTTTGAAGTGCCAAAGGATTTCACAAAAATTAATTGAAATATTACTATTTTTCAAAAGTGCCTTTTTGACATTTTGTGGCAAGTTGAAAAATTAAGTGCCATTTGAAGTAAAATATTTAGGGCCGAAAATGGCACAGCTTGAGCCAAATTGGCAGTTCTGAATATTACCCTGTCGGTGAACCAACAACCAATTTTCCAAAAACTAAACTTTCAAGCGTAAAACCTTGGTTCAAATTCGTAACCAAACCATGGAAATGTCAAGATTTAGCATTATAACTTTTATTCTTATATTAAAAATATTTTAAAATGAATCAGTAATATAGAAAGGTCCTAACCGATTTTCTATAAAAATTCAGCTCTGTACAGAAGTTGGTAGATTACTTACTTAAGACTTAATCACATTTGAAATCTACATCAAAAAAATCTGTGGGTATTAAAAACCAGTGTAATGAAAAGTTAATGGCCTTATTCATAAAAAATTAAATCGATTTAAAGAGCTCTATAAAGTGATATTTTCATACAAACTTTCGATTTATAAAGCAGTTAAAGCCTTTTTTATTTGTTATGAATCTGGCTGTAGGTCTTTATAAAATTTTATAACAACTCAAAAATAAATCTCAATATTTCTACTAAAATCTAAAATCGGGATACTTTTATTTCGAAAATTTCACAACTTTTGCTGTAGTATCAAAACTTTTGTGAAAAATATTTTTAAGCGTACCTCAGTCGGCAAAATGGGGACCATCTCTTTGCAAGCGATATTAAATCTTCCCATAGCCCTGCCATTCGAGGTCAGACGAGAAGGCTAGGCTGACGGGGTGTGTTTCCTGAGCAATGGTAGACAAATAAAGGAAACAGTCGCAGTGGAGACTTGTCGGTGAAAATCTGGAGCAAAGTTAAATTTGTACTGAGTAATTTTAATTTCACGAAGTGTCTCCTTCTAAGGTTACGACTACATTACTTGCTTCTAAAGAGTTGGTCTTTTTGAGCGAGATTCTTCCACTTCTGCTGAGAAATATCTCTGGCGATAGTTTTCATTATTCATCGATTCCAAGACGAGCAATTCGCACCCAAGCAAACCACTCTCATTACAAAACAGGATTCGTCAGAATACGTAGCCATAGTAACCGTGGCGTAAGAGAGTCTGAATCGAAAGGCTTTAAACTAGGAGTAAACAATCGAAAGTATATCGAAGGTGGCCTTTCTTTCTAATTTGGGCGACTGGGAGAGTTTTTCTGATTAACATTTTTAAGTTGTTGTACATATAGGAAGCGTTGCAGTTCCGAGTGGAGCAGCTTACTTGAGCAATGAATCGATTGACTATATACCAAAACACTTCATTTCAGCAGTGAAATTACTGTTGAAAAATAAAATATACGCTCTCTAAAGTGAAGGATTTCATCACCCCGACGGTAGAAAAAATTGGTTAAAACCGTTTCTTTTTTATGTTCCTAGCTGCATAAACGGTGGAGTTATAACCAAAAATCTCACATCTTAACAATCAGTTGTATGGGAGCTACATACATATGTATATGTTATAGTGGTCCGATATTTCCGGTTCCTACAAATGATTAATACATTATAAAAATACACCCGCTTACCAAATTTCAGTCGGGATATCTCGAAAACTGAGGACTAGATTGCGGACAAACAAACGGACATGGTTAAATCGGCTGAGCTCGACGTTCTGATCATTTAAGTATACATTTTCATGGGTCTATCTCTTCTTCTTCTGGTACTTACATACATCGGACCAAAGTTTTAACAAATATTTCGTGTTCATCAAAGGTATAAAAATGTACCGCTTTTCGGTACCATTCTACCACTCCCACTTCTAACTGCTGTAACTTCTGAAGTACTTTGATTTCGGAATAGGGAAGCACTATATATAATATTCTTAAGGGTAAGTAGAATTTTTTGAGCGAAAAAATATTGGTAAAGCAATTTGAAAGCTTTGTTCCGCACGGAATAGCTCCGCTCGGCTTGGCATCGCTTACTGCGTGTACGTCACGTACACTAAGCATAGATTTTACAGCGAATACACCTATGTAATTAAAATGTGTAATTGTGTTTACTTACCTGTGGCTAATTTCTTTTGTGCAAAATTTCAGTTCATTTTTATTCTCAATGGCCACAACATACATTATTTGTTATTATTATTTTTTTTGCAAGGTCTCCTTTCTTTAATAAATAAGGCATTGTTTTAAAATTGTAATATATTTTCCAATTTTTTGTTTATTATTAGGTAATTATAGTGTTTGAATGATAATTTTTATGAACTTAATAAGTTCCATATATTGAAGGGAGATTTCTGAAAATAAATAATGTAAATTTATAATTAAAGAATGTTAGGGAAATGATTGGGGATAATTGCTATATCAAATTTTGTTAGGTATAATTTTGTAGAAATAGCCATAGAATAATGCTAATTTAAATGCGAATCATATTTGTATAAGGAAAATAAAGTTATGCTTACAACAACGTTTATGCATACAACAACGTAAAGGCAAAAATTAAGAAATTCAATGTTTAAAGAACTAAGAAATAGATATACATATGTATGTAATATTAACTACAAAATACTTAAGAAATTTTAATTTTGTTGTACGGCATAAAATTAAGTAAACTGAGCTTCTTTCCAGAACTTTCTGAACCGTAATTGCGTTAAGGGCGAATTTTTTCTACCTTTTTGTACTTTTGCTATTTTTATTTTGAAAAGGTTACGTATTGCAAATACTTTGTATTTAAAATAGTCTGCCTGCAGTCGTTAATCGCTGATAATAACGGGTATAATATAATTTGAATGAACTGAATTTAGATTAGCTAAGATTACTTACTCAATGCATTTATGGCGCGCCTAATACATAAATACATACATAGGTGATTGACAGTTGTATTTTACGAGCGTTATAAATCTTACTATATCATGATAAGTATGTAAATGCATTGTGATTTTTGAAATAATTAATAACTGTTCAGCTGACAAAATAAAAAAGTTAAATATATGTACATATATACATACATACATATGAGGCCGTGCGAACAGAAGTGGACAAACACAAATATATTAGGGGTATTCTCTGAGTCTTGCAAAGCCCTTGCATGGTGCACAGATTGCACGGATTGCACGGTAAAAACCGGTTTTCGTATGGGACAGCTTTGCAAACCGTGCAATCCGTGCACCGTGCAAGGGCTTTGCAAGACCCAGAGAATACCCCTATTTACTTAGCTACTTAAAATATGTCTCAAAGGTAATAAATGGCTACAATTCGGCGATTACCGTTTGTGTATAATAAAGACAAATTGGCAGAGTTGAAAATGTTTGATGTTTCTACAATTTGGAGCACCTTGCTGTAGCTTCGAATTGTATGATGCACTCGGATCACTTTTCCTTCAAATTATAGTGAAAAAATGATGCAATTTTGAAATGTTTAAAAAAAAACATAAATAACTGCATTTTCGGGGTACGTAAAACATATTTTTAGTTCTCTTTTTGACTACGTCAATTGGGGATAACAAATATAATTCTCTATGTACCAATTTAATTCTTTACCGCACCATTTTTGCAGAAAATTGCTGCTAAAGTTACAGTTCTTATGTAGTAAACATTTTTTTTACCGACCTACGCACATCGGTGTGTTGGAATTTTCGAGCACTGATTCAATTCTTAAGGGTAGTGTATACTTTACTCTCTTAATTGCCGAAGTTTTTTTTTTAATATAATTTCAAGAAAATACTTGCAATAAGAACTAGAGCTTAAAAAAATAATCGCTCGCAAATTTGTTTCTAGTGCAATAAATTTGTATGATAGCCGTCAGTTATTCTACGAAAGAATACAGAAGCTCCAAGGTGTGTTATTTCTTACCAATGTCATCAAAGCCCTCAAAATTTTCATGGTGTTCCAAGCTTGAAGAAATTATGACTAAAAGTAATGCAACTACGATATATCAGCGAGTTACATTGCGAACATGAAGAAATACAATTGGCGTTAGCATTACAAATAGCACTAAGATGCAATTTTGATGTGTTTAAAAGGATATTGCGTAACTATTGCAAGGCTAAAAAATCGCATATCCTTTAAGATACCGTTTTAAACTATCTTATAGAATGTAACTGAAGCTGAATCCGGAATATTATAAAAAAAATTATATATATATATATATATATTGGAAAAAAATTGCGTAGCTGCTTTGACGCTGTAAATGTTCTTATTGCGCAGATACAATTACGGTTCAGAAGCATTCAAAAATTAAAAAAAAAATTAATAAACAATGGGTAATGGCTCCTTGCTCATGGAAAGGACGGTTAAAAATCTCAAGTGTGAAATATATATAAGTAATACCAAAATACGTTAAAAAATAAAACAAAAACTTAAACTCGTATAATATATTTAATAAGCCAATTAATTATTCGCTTGTTAGTGTGATTGAAATTTAAATGAACTGCAACAAAACTTCGACTTAAATGATAAAATTATATATGAAATATATATATTTTTAATACACCAATAGCGCTTAGAGCATTGTAAATTCAAATGATAAATTTTTAATGAATAATTTTCTTAAATGCGTATGTATGTATGTATATTTTAAAATGATTAACAAATTACACCATCTAAGGCAAACTTATAAGAAACCTGATTATATGTTTAAATTAAAATAAACCTTTTTACCAGTAGTGAAATGAAAGCTTAAATGAAATTTAACAATTAATTGTACCTAAATTCCAAAACAAATACATATATATTCAGTTTAGTCAAAAATCTCAATGGTACATTGTTTTTGGTTTTCACAGGCAATATTCGGAACACGTTTAACAATTAAATGCTTAAGAGTGATTTCACAAGAATTTTCACACATAAAATGGAATTGGAGTATGTAATTTAATACAATTAATATTTTCAATTTTAGTTTCACTTAAAATGGTAATGCTTAACACACCACAGTAAATATGCGTGTACTCGTATGTATATATATATTTATAGATATATACATATTTTGTGTAAATATTTATGTATGTATCTACAATGAGTGATTTACAATGCGGAAATTTTAAATTTCTATTTGGTGTATATATAAGTTTATATGTATATGTAGTTATATTAATTATACGCATACATATGTATGTATATATGTATGTATATAACTATGAATGTATTAATTTTTTGCTGCTCATAAATTTCAATTTCACAAGACATTTCGTTTCCCCATTTTTCCAAAAAGCGTCACCATATCCTTAGCGCTTTGCACTCAACACATACATATGCGTGTATCCATATACATAAGTATGTTTATATGAACATTCACAAAAAATCGTTCCCAAAAATAAATGTTTACATATGACTAATATGTATAAATTGCCTTTAGACAATGGATGTATGTACAGACGTGTATGTACGAGTGTATGCATGTATATATAGTTTCTCTCTATTTATGCTACATATACATTTGATGTATATGTATTTATGTAGTATATACTCTATACTAAAACTTTATTTTAGTTTAGGTCGTGTACTCAAATGCCAACACTAAAATTAAGTAAATGATTGCAATAGTTGCTATTGCTTTTTTGCTTTTCAGTGTCCGTGTACTGTGGTTTTCATAACATTTTACTATTAAATTTTCGTAAAACCTGGTTGTTGTATGTGTATATTAATTCGGCTGTTTTCTTCTTTTTTTTCTTTGTATGAAAACTCAGGTATAAATATGTCACTAAATAACACTAATATTCTCATTTAATATTTTTGTTTGAATATTAACGCAGTAGTTGATTTACTTGTGTTAGTTTGTTGTTGTTTTTTACTTATTAAACGAACGCACAGAAGAACGCAAAATAGTTTAATATTTATTTACGCCGCAGCCAGAGTTCGGCTGTTTCATACTGTTGTTAATATTATTTTTTTTTCTGCTGCTACACCTTAGTTAATTTTTTTTTTTATATCGCACTTAGTTTTTTATATAGCATTTTTGTTTTGTTAATTACTCTTATTTTGCAAACAAAATTTTCTTCTTTACTTTAATCGATATTCAATTTACGAAAAGACCCTTCAGGTACACTCACACATTTAGGCGATGGCGGCGATGCTGGTGAAGGTGGCGTCTCTTTAGCAGCTACTGTTCCAACAGCAGGCTCAATTTCTCGCAATTTCTCATCAACGCCATACTTTTCATCCTCATCGAAATAGTCGCTAAATTCATTGAGCTGTTGTTCGAAATGTGTCATAGCCTCTTCATAGGTGCCATTAGTGCCACCATATTCGACAGGCAGGTACTCCTTACCAATGGCTTTATGCAGTGACTCCAGCGATGAGTGTATGTGGAGCTGTGCGCGGAATAGTAAAGTAGAAGTGGAATTTATAAATTTACTTATTTTACATTAAACATTTACAACTTTATTTTACAGCTGTTTAGCTGGAAACTTCTAAAAGCTTGCCTAAGTATTCTGAAGTAAATTTAAGTTCATGCTTACAATTTTTAAATATCGCGAGTATGATATGGTACTACATATATTCTTGAACATATTAATACAAAGCATCCATGGCCTTAAAGTTGTGAAGTTTATAGACGCTTGAAAGTTACTTATTTTACCCCTACATACAAAAGTGGTAAAAAGAATGATGTTGCCAACTATGGTCATATCTCCAAACTAGCCACGATTTCAAAATTATTTGAATACATTGTACAGGAGGCACTATATTTTGCAGTAAAGCCTTAAATCTCTTGCAACAAGCATTGGCAATTACGAATGTATGTATGTAGCTGTTTCCTCAGAATTTTGTATGCCCGTTTTTAAAAATCGTCTTCAGGTCGACACTGTACACTGACCTCTCGAATGACATATTCAGTCATTCAATTTTAGTCTCCACACTACATAGATACGATTTCACTCAGTTTTCTCAAATTGGGTAGAAGATGTGCTGTTGTTGTCTACTACAACACCTCTTCTCATTCTTTATTGCCTAGTTCGATGTTTCTCATATAACTACACTGGCTTACAGCAAAAATTTTCTATGGTACTATCCAATTCGTATGGAGAATTGCTCGGTGATTCCGAACATCGATTTATTTTTTTGCTATGGATACGTTTTCGAGATACTTTCAATTTACCATTATTCAGCTTAAAGCAAAAATTGATTCCTTTTAATCACGTATGTATATCTTACGAAGAAATTTAAAAATCTTAATACAAAATTCTCCATAAACCGTATATAGATCACTTTCCGATAGGGCTTATAATTTCTAACAAATTAATTAATCATTCCAGCTTTTTTTATTGTTTAATGGAAAAATTAAAAAAAAAAACAGAAGAAAAATTTAAAAAATTACAGGTTCTGTGCCAAATTTTTGCATTTGAATTTTGCCTGTTCTGTTACAAAAAACAAAATCAAATTAATAATGAAGAATATCGATGGATTAATAAGAAATAATGAGTGGTCAAATGAAAACACGCAAAGATTTTTTGTATGAAAAATGAGCAGGAAAGAAAGTTGCTCATACGCCACGTACACCTGTTCATATTTCATACAAAAAATTTTGCGCATTTCCATTTAACCATTGATTATTTCGTATTCATCCATCGATTTTCTTCATCAGTAACTTGATTTTTTTGTAACAACACAGGCTTTAGTACAAATGCAAAAATTTGGCACAGAACCTGCAATTGTTTTAATTCTTCTTCTGTTAAAGTTTATTTTTTTCATTTTTTTTCTTTCTGTAAACCTCGATATTTTATCTCTACTTCTTATTTATTAGTAACTCATGTCAAACTATTCTTAACGAAATTCCAGATCTTGAAGTAGTTTATTATTCAATTATGATAAAACTTATTCTATAAAAGCCTTGATTGGAAGGTTTTTTTAACACTTTGCTGATGCTTAACTTTAAAGTACCTATACACTGCTCTCGTCCGATCTAAGCTGGAATATGCAGCATTTATATGAAGGCCATATCGTGGTTTCCATATTAAAATGCTTCAACGCGTTCAAACAACTTTTGTTCGTTTTGCTCTTGGAGCTTTGAATGGCGAGGATCCCATTCCTTCATATAACGCTAGATGCTTACTAATTAATTTAAAAGCTTTACGTAGTAGGAGGATTAAGCTTTCACTCTCGTTTCAGTTTGACATAGTAAGTATAGTGATTAACTCATTTTCCTTCTTGAGTGCATTTATTTTTATATTCCTCAAAGGAGACTATGGAGGAATTATCTTTCTTTCTAGAGGAATGATATTTGAAAAATCACTGCCACAACATATACTTCTTTCTACTCGGTTATATTCAACTCGGGTAGAGCCAACAAGAATAAACTCTCCAATCAAGTTTTAAAACCATGCTTGGCTAACACTTCTAAAATCGTTTATGTACAAATTTCAACCCGTGTTAAGCTTTCCACCGGTGTAGAAATATGTAAATATTCTACCCGAGTGGACTTGCTAACTCGACAAAAAAAGTGTTTATGCATGTGGGTTGAATTTACCCGAGTAAAATATAACCGCCTAGAAAAGAAGCATAAACATGGTGATAGTCAACATCATTAGCTTAGGGCTCGGAATCTCATGCAAATGCATGTTTTTATTGGACATCTTCAGATGTAAATGCTTAAGTTATTTTTACATATCATGGAATTTCCTTTAAACTTACATTCAAACGTTAGCGCATATTTTTGCATATTTTGCAGTAAATGCATGGTTTTGCATATTTTGC